GTTCATTATTATTATGTATCTGTTTTTTGTTTTTTTTTTTTCAGATATGACTCTGCCAAAAGACAACAACCCATGCCCCATTTGCTCAAAGACATATGCGGCAATGTCCAAACATTTAAAGAATGGACATGGGGTTTTAAACCTCCAAGAGCGCCAGCTCCTCCTAAACCTGGCGAGCAAACGGGTCAACATTCGCCGGCAGCCATGTCCGGTGTTGGGGTGCAATTACGAAAGCACCAGGCTGGACCAGCATATCCCCAGCTGCCACACAGAGCTGACCCAGGCCCAGGTCCAGCAGTACCTGCAGTGGGCCAGGAGAACGACAACCGTCGCTCTCCTAAGCAAGCTGCGGTCCACAGACCCAGCAGTGCCGCTGGCTTCGTCCTTGGATCTGGGTCTGGAGGAGGAGGAACGATCCCTGCAAGTACCTCCTCTTGTAATGATGGAAGAGGAGCCGCAATGTAGCAACCCAGACTGCGTGGCCCAACGCAGGAGCTTGGAGCAGTCATCGATGGAAAACCTCCGGAGGGCAGAGCGGGCGGAGGAAGAATTGAGACAGCTCCGTGTGAAGTATCAGCAGCTGGCCAAGAAGAACAAGCGGCTTTCCAAGGTTAGTGAGTGAATTAAATTGGCTGACACTAGTGACAAAGTTACACGATTAAGCTTTTTCCCTGTGTTTTTTTTTTTTTTTCAGGAGAGGGGAACGGAGGCAACCGTGGCAGTGGGGGGAAGAGAGGAGGGGGGGGAGGCAGGCGTGGATGAGGAAGGCCTGAGGAAAGTGGCAAAAAGGCTCTTTGCGGGGACGGGCAAAGGGACCTTCACTCGCCATATAAAGTTCCCAGAGTCGATGGGTGGGTATTACTACATTTTGGCAGTTGGTATTAAGTAAATGTGTTTTTGATCCATGTCATTTTCATCTCTGCACGTTTGTTTTATTGAATGAAATGTTTATTGTGATTTTTTTAACAAAAAATTACTTTAAACAATACCAGGCCTTCCACGAGGGCAGCTGTCCCTCTGCAAAACACCGGGAGAATGCCTTCTCGAAGGTCAGCCGCATCAGGTCCTTTTTGGCCTTCATGGCCGGCAAGGACTCCTCCCTGGCAACCTGGCGCTTTTTAGATAAGGCGGAGCAGATCATCCAGTAAGTGCGGTCTCGCTGCTCGCTTGCTTCTTTCTGGGTTTGACATGTATGTATGTATGCATGCATCAACCTATGACTGTATGTGTGTTCCCCCCCGCAGATGGCCCAACGTCCTGGCCGCTTCGGGGAAAAATATTACTACGGCAAACTTTTATTTGAGGAATGTCCTCCAGTTCATGATCTATTTTAAGGAGACCCCCCCGAAGTTGGCCAGGCTCTCCCAAAGCCAGATTACTGGCGTGATCCGGGCCGTGAGGCAGGCCGTAAAATCTATCGCAAAAAAGATGTTGGCCCACCAGCTGACAACCAAGGATAAGAAGTTGTCCAAGGTCGTGTCGCAGGAGTCGCTCAGGCGGTGCCAGCTCGGTGCAAGGAAGGCGATTCCTAAGCTGCTGAGTAAGATTTGTTCACCTCACCCTGAACACACGCTGCGCTTTCTCTCCACCACCACATCACATTTTTCACTCGCTTAACCCTTTCTGCCATTTCCCCCTCAGAGGAACTCCGGGAGGACTACACCGTCCAGCTCCGGAACGCCTTCTACGGCTATTACAGCGCCTTCATTGCATCAATTTATGGGCACCGCCCGGGTGTGTTCAAGATTATGACGGTGGCAGAGGTCAGGGGGGCGGCCACTGAGGGCCGGCCTCCCACGGGCTACGTCATCCGTGTAAGTATGACCAAGCTCACCTGGCTACATCTCTCAAGTGTCACTTCATTCATTCATTCATTAGATTATTTATTGATATATTTTTATTTTTGTAACAACGCATCGCAGGTGAATGAGCACAAGACCTCCAAGGACTTTGGGCCGGCACAGATTTTCCTGGAGCCGGAGGAGTACGGCTGGCTCCTCAAGTGGCTCCAGGTGAGGGAGACCTGCAATCCGGCGGGGGACCGGGTGTTCTTCACCCCTGGAAAAGGGCCGTTGAAGAACCTGGTCCGGTATATGCAGGAGGCGTGGGCGGAGATGGGCTTGCCCGGAAAGCCCACATTCATTGACCTGAGGACCGCCGTGTCTACACACGTGAGATTCTGCTTGCTTGTTCGTTTAAGTTCATTCCACCGCTCGCTCCTCCTCGTGTGTCACTCACTTTCTCTCACTGTCTCTCCTTGCAGGCAAAGAACGTGCACGGTCCGGAGGTGCGCAATAAAGTGGCCAAATTTATGTGCCACAACACCACCACGGCTGACCGCTATTACGCCCTACATATGGACGTGCAGCAGTCGCGTGCGATGCGGCGGCATTTCGAAGAGGCCTCCACTCTGCCCCGCCTTGGTGACTCACTCTCATTCTCGCAAAAGGCCAAAAAGGTTGGCCACAAAAGAGCAGCGCAGGAGGAGAGTGACAGTAGTTCTGTCAGCGACGAGGCGGTCCCGTACCAGGAGTCGGGAGACTCCTGCGTGGAGGAGGAAAGGTGGGAGCTGGAGATGGAGGAAGAGGAAGAGGGACGGGAGGAGGAAGAGGGACAGGAGGAGCAGGGGGAAGAGGAGGAGGACGTCACTGCGGGGCCAGCAGCATCTGTAAGAAATGTGTTTTTAAAAATTTATTAAATACAGAAAGAGAGGTGAAAGTACTAAGCACTCAATATGTTTTTTACTCCACAGACACCAGTCAAGACACAGAGGAGGCAGCTATACCAGAACCTGATGGTGCGCCTGAGCCTGCTGGAGTCATCTTTTAAGGCCTCCAGGAGGGCGTTAAGAGCTGCCAAACGGGCAGCTCTTAAATCCCCAAGGACTGGAAAAAACAAGTGGAAAAAAAAAAGTGTAAAATAAACACTGAACTGACTTGTATATATTTTTTTGTTCACTTCAAATTGTTATTTA